CCCCCCCCCCCCGATTCATAGACAACGCGAGATGCGCCAAACGCAGTTTGGTGGAATTAAGTATTAGGGATATTTATTAAAACTTGTCCGCTCGCTCTAATTTTGGTTAAAATCGGACAAGCGTGAAGGACGATTTATGTGAAGACCTATATGTGTTTCTGCGCACATCTCAAATTGAATTTTTTAAATATCAGAGCGAAAAATACTTCGAAAAACATTTGTAGAGAGAAGTAAAATACCCGTTTAATGTTCAGTTTATGGCTTCAGTAAATCTCGTGGGTTGAAAATAAATGAATACAAGTAAACGTACCAAAGTCGTTACCCTGTGCATACATTTTCTAACTTTTTATTTATGCATATCAGGTTGTCCCGCTAGAATGTTTTATCGTCCCGTAGGTTTCAGAATTAAAACTGTCTTCGTAAAACATTAAAGGACAATCATGATGAATACGTATTTTTAGACGAAACTGTCAGCATTGCTCCAACATTTAGTTCACGTGAACTTTAGCTGTATATCATATCAGAATGAAAATGACGTTGTCCCTGTTATCAACTAATTAAACGCGACGCCATGACGAAGTTTGATGTAGATACAGCTTCATGCTTTCTTAACTTCAGCATTACTTGTTGGTGAGTGGCAAGATTCACTCCCCGGCCGCTTTACACCCGGAGAAATAGCCCCCTCTACACTCTCTATAAGAGGCTGTGTGGGCCTCAAGGCCAGTCTAGACTCTGTCGAGGAGAGAAAAATCTCATACCTCAGCCGGGAAAAGAACCAAGATTCCTCGTCCGTCCAATTTCTAGCGCGACCCCACACTGACTGAGCTATCCGGCCTCAGATGACTAGCGAAATAGCAGTGTTTATGATTGTGTGCTTTTGAAATCAAGTACTATATACATTGCATTAAAAGCACTGTTTCAATGCGGAAATGTTTCGTTACGTGTTGACCAAAATGTCATTAATTTTGTCGCAGGGTATGGTCTGAGAAATGTTTTTATTTGGATTGCCCCAGACATAAAGAATCCCCGAAATCTTAGATATAATTTATTTGATGCTATGGCAAATATTTATTCCCTGGTATTTCAGCCTTTATAGAATTTCTAAAATACGTCTGATTCTGTATGAGAGACAGAGTCATGGCAATTACATTATCAAGAATTAAACAGTTTTTGCCATTAGTAACTTTGACAACGAAGTCAGACATACCCGCCATCTAGATGGAGATTTAAGAAATTCTGTTCAGTCATTTCTCATAATATTCCATTATATGCAATTTGATTTTTTAAAAGTATCAATATCACTTGTTTTATTACACTGTAAAATGCTCACATGTCCTTAGCGAAGAATTTAATTAGAGAATGAATCAAATGAAAGCGTTACTGTTAACATTTACGATTTCATTTACTGCATAATAGGGTCCATTAACTCGGAAAGAGACATGAAAAGTGCTGTAAAGAACTATCAGACTATCAAGACACAGATAACTGCACACAAGTCCAGCCAACTTTTCCTGACAGTTAGAAGTAACCAGTTTAGTATTTACTTCTAGACCCTGTTATTAAGCAAGGTTTCAAATATAGGAACGCATCCATTAGAAATGTTAACAGAACACTTCAACCGAATACTAATTAACAGTAATTTAATTCAATATAAGAGACGTTTTAATGGTCATTTGCAATATTAGTTTAGCATTAAGAAGTATTAAGCATTGAAAGCGAAACCTGTTACATTACCTGAACAGAATATTTAATTGTCCCTATGTTCAGATATTATATGGTCAATCACTGAACGTCCCATATTTTCTTTTTGTTTTTTCGTGTACAATTTGTATGCTAAAACATCTCAGTCACGATTAAGTCTTAATTTGCATTCCATGGAATTCTAGCGATTCTATATTACACTTAGGATTACTGCCTTTCTGGCTTTTATCCGCGGTCTGGTGTCCCGAAGAAACCACAAAGTTTCAGTGAAACGGCGAGGAAGCACCTATGTTACTTGCGACAGTGCGTAAGAATTAATATAAATCACTATAATGGTGAATAAATAGAGATCCTCACATCTTTTCAACTGAGGACCGAAAAGAAGATCCATTTTCTGGATTGTTATAATCTGTTGGAGCGCTAGACGATGGATAAGCCCAGAACTGCAGTAATCCCAAACCTTAATATGTACAGTATAATATAAGTACGTTCATATCTAATACAAATGTAAAATCTGTTCGATTATGCGGTGCGTCCAGTACACATCTTCCCTGAAATCATTCGTTTGCTCAGGAGGAAGAGAGAGAGAGTCTCCTTGCATGAGCTTGGGACACACAGATCCAAACTCCGGCAAACCAATGGCACGTACGCATTACAATTTCCCATCAGTGTCAACTAAATGCTACTGTGAAAGGACGTTATGCTATATA